TCAATTTTTTTAGTTTTGACATAGCCATTATCTTTTGGTTAAGAAATTTCTAATAGGATCATATACTTTTTGCCTCATAATTTTTGGCTTAGTAGCATTCCTTTTAGGAACTCCTGGGACTTATCCAACCATATTTGGTTAACTTTTATCATGATTTATTCATTCACTTTTAATCGAGTCATTTCATTATTCAATCATACCCTATTGTTGGTAAGTTTTGGCATTGGGTAAATACCTATACTCAAATTATTCCTTTTCCTTCAAGTAGATTATCTCCACTTGGGCTTATCTTGCACTTTATATCTTTGAGGCTTTTTCTCAATATACTAAATCTTTTTATCTTTCAAGTTTTTATGCCATAGTTAAATACATGAATCTTGAGCTTGATAGTTGATGTATCAACTATCTCCCCTCATTTTATTGCATTTTATAGCAACTTAATGTCAGCCAAAAAAGATTTTCTTGGTTGATTAACCCTTTTATTTTAGAACTCAACCATTGAATGTGATAGGGTAGCTATCAGTATTATGCAATATTTCACCTAATAATGAGAATCATCTTATCACAACCAAATCTCACATGTCAATTTAGAAATAAAAATAGCTTAGGGCATACAACCTTAATTAATTTTTAAAATAACTTAACTAATATAAGTAATGCAAATGACCAAAGATATTCAAAATCCTTTATTTCCTTTATATTAAAAAAAATAAAAACATATCTATTTATTTTCAAAAAATTTAAACAATATATAATTTATTTTAAAAGTAAACTTAAAAAATGCAAAAAATATTAAGGTTGCATGCCTTAATTTGGTTGGATACATTTTGATGAGTTATCTTGGTAACCCATCATAGTCATATGAGAGGACACTTTTTACTACACTGATTTATTTATTTATTCACATACTTAGGTGTTATGATTGGTCATGACCCCTTTTCCATTTAGTTTAGGGTAGGGTATAGCTATGTCATCATTTTTTTATGGGATCTTGTTATTACGTGGCTTAAAACTTATTATATAATAATTTGTGCATAGGTTAGGATAAGTTGTAGCTAAGTCAATATTAATACACTATGATAGTTGATATTCTTTTTATATGTGCTAAAAGTATAAACATTTGCATTTTTTACTTTTATGGTTGTTGTGCATCAAATTTTCAAAATGCCAACTCAAACTTGACTATTGAGTAATATTGAATGCTATGTGGTTTTATCTCTGTGATACGATATATGAACTATATCATTTATTTACTTTACAGTACATTTATTTATATATAATATATTTTATCTTAGTTTAAAAGCTTATTATGTGTAATAATGTGGGTATATTTTCTAGATCCATATTAGGGTGTACCCAGAACTAGATTGGCCCTGTGTATATAGGATGAAGTAGGTACTAACAACTAAGAGAAAAATAATGCCTATGTTTGTACTTTATTACTAATTAATTTGATTTATGGATTTAAGAGTTCAAGTTATTTATGTAGATATCGACTACTTTTTATTTATTTCAGCTATATATACATATTGTATAATTATATCAGCCTTTATATAACTCTTTCAATGTAGAGGGCATTTTATTTTCATGTTTCCTTACTTTCATACCTAGAGTTTGCTAAGTGCCTACTTTTTTATTTTTTACTACTATGTATAATGTGTCTTGAAATCACATGAATATAGTAGGCTTATAAAAATTAGGATAATGTTTTTTCTATAGACTTAAATAAATTGGCAATCAATCTAAACTCAATTTAAAAAAGATTTATTTTCTTAAAAATTAATTTCATGGCTTCAAGCAAAATTTTCAAATTTCAAATTTATTAATTAGATAATGTATATAGCTAAGCTAGTCATTGATTAAAAACCTTAAACCTTGGTTTACATTCGTATAATAGCTTGTCAAAATACACATGTATTTCAGTTAAGAACAGATAACTTGTATATATATCGTATTCTTAAGGATAATCATTTACTTGTAGGTATGATTTTAATTGATACGTCTAGATGTATATCTTAGCATGCTAGGTAGCAGCTATCCTAATTCAAATAATATTATAAGTTCATTTGAGTGGTTCTGGTTGTATATAAATAGACAATCTCATTATTTTTTATTTTGTAGGCATTCCTTATACCGCTAAGGATCATAAGTCCTACATCTTCCAAGCCTACCTCTTAAAATTCATCTATTTTTGAGTTTTCTTTTCTCAGTTTGAGATTATGATACTAACTATGGATGATGTAATTCATGGTTTCTAGCATATCATCTCTTGGCTAGGCCTTGTTGACTATCTTCATAGCTAAATGGTTTTGGTTTGATAACCTATAATGATAGATCTATAACATGTTGATTCAATTATCTCTACCTTTTTTATTTCTTATTAGTTCTACTCACTCTTTTGATCCATTTCATGCTCTAATAATTTTTTGGAGATTCAAATATCATTATCTCCTGAAGTTTTTATGTAAAGAGAGAGTTGTTTCACTTGGTTATATTGATTTATGCTCTCCCTTAACAATTGGCTTATTGTAAAGAATACATTATACTATTTCTAGAATAGCCTTTGAATCATAGTGTACCTTTGATGTTAACCTAAGAAAACCAAAAATAGAGTTTTTCTTTATTGATAATGTCTCCTAGTGTTATCCTTAAGTGTAAATAACTTCTGAAAATCCATCTCTTAGGAAGATTGATCAATTTAAATTCTCTACATGATTTGATATAGCATTGACTTTGATAATATAGTCACTCATGAGTACTTTCAAAAGTTTAAGATAAGATTTGTTGGCCCAACCACACTTGACCACTTCCTTTATCTACTTTTGTAATATCTATTGATAATAAGATGCAATCACATTTTTCCTCACAATAATTAACATTATTAAGTTTAGATGAACCCAAAATTATTATTATTTTATGTTTTTATTTCTATCTAAATGCAACTAGATAAATCCACATTAACTTATTTGAAACCATCATTGAAGGGTCTAGTGGGGATTCATTATAAAGCCTTTTGAGAAGAACATCACTCACATTTAAAATGTGTAATGAAATTTGATTTAGAGAAGACTCACAATTCTTAAGCACTAGGTTAACTATATTATTCACTTTCATAGTGGTAAATCATATATCTAAAAAAGAGATAATCATCTCACAACCATAAGAATTTTTTTAGTGAGAGTGACAATTTTAATTCTCATAACTAGGCAATTATCATTTCCACCCAACTCCTCCTTGTGATTAGCAATAATAATTTCATTTTTGGTTTTCAATTTAGGCACTCTATTATCCTTATCCTCATTTATTGAAATTTCATTTGGAGTCACCTTATTTGATATTTTTGGAAACACTTTTTGTTAGATAAGTTTTTTTTTTTAATACAAATTAGGTATTTTTAAATTTCATTTATATATGGAGTTTAAAATATTCCTCTCATTAATATACTCAAATGGTCGACAATAAAAATAATATTTTGGGTGATTCTTAATGATAACTTTTTAGTAGTATCCTATTGATGCAATGTAGCATTTGGCAATTAGATATTTAATAAATATTCATTTTGGAAAGATTGTGTAGACATGACAACCTAAAGACATTAATCATAATGCAAAGGCTTTTAAAAATTTATCCTAATGGTGAAAGAGCATTATGTTTTGTAAACTGTAATTTGAGTCCATGAAGTAAGATCGAAATGGGGGTAACCAAGGGTTCACGATTAATGTTAAGAAATGAGGAACATACATTTAAGGATCTTCATTTTTAGCACCACTAATACTATGAACAACACAAATATTCTCATACAATCATTATCATTAAGCAAATAAATAATAAAATGGGAAAAATGATAATGGTTGCTGAAATTACCTAAGGGTCTAGTTAAGAAAATAACCTTCTAAGGGCATCCAACAAGGTAAACTAGAAAATTTTCCTACAAGGTCACAAGGGTAGATTGAAAAGGCTTTGACATCTCAATGATCTCCTGATCAAAGAATAAAATCAATCCCTTGAAAATCAAAGGATCTTTAAGGTCTATCAATTTCATTGATTGGTCATGCGTTAGAGCATCAAAGAAAAGATTTAGTGAATGAGGTGGTATGCTTTTTTACCATAAAACAAAGTAGTTAGGATATTACAACTAAAAGCACCATTGTTCGCCATAGAAGTCAATCATCAAATCATGAAGGCGAACTCCAATGACGCTTAAAACACATATGAAGAAAGGATATAAATTGCCAAACCCTAGAAGACCATTAGTAAACCTATCGCCTTATGTGTTATAATCAGAGTGTGATGAAGTTATTGGTTACAAGTGAGTCAGATAAATTGGGTGATATTATAAAATGCACGATAATGAAGTCATATATAGGGGGTGTCACTGCATTGTGCTTCTTTTTGTGAGAACAATACCATCATAAATCAACTTGTTCCATGCAAATTATATTGACAAAGCCAGCCCAAGATGTTAATTGATCACCACCACACCTCTTCAAAACCCCCCGAAAAAATGCTTTTTTAAATATGCTTCTTAGGGAACTTTCATAGCATTTCAAAAATAAGTAGTAATTAAGATAAAAGCAGATTTACATTTAATATTCCAAACTATATGCTTAAAGCCTAAATTTTATTTTATATATATTAAACTTTGTTATCTTCTTAATGAAACACTCAAAAACAAAGAGGAATTCATGACCATATCTTGTAGCAAACAAAGAAGAGATGAGAAAGTTGTAATGAGATATTCATGAGAAAGGGGAAGCATTCAACTACAATATTAAGAAAAAAAGATGTGAGAAAATTGTGGTGGGATCTCAATGAAAAGGGGATTCATAGATGACTGTAAAAGAGCATGATGAGATGAAATAAATGGCTATGAAATCTCATTAATGAAGTGACATTGAATTGATGATATGTGAAAGTTGAAAATTTTGATGATGAATTTTAATGAAGAGGATGAAAAAAAAAATATAATTTTTATTTGATTTTAAATTTTGAGTATTACGCAGTAAGCTTCATTCACGCAAACGAATGCTCTATTCAATCCTCTTCCCGCAACGAGAGGCCGAGGACCACCGCCCTTCTCTCGCTAATCGCTCCAAGGTCTCCGAGGCCGTGGGGTGAAACGATGAAGATCGGAGCGGGATTGGCTTGCAGGTCCTACTTTGCTTCTGCTCTTCCGTCACTCAACTTGGGGGCTGCCGTCGTTCGATGCTCCGCCTCTGCCTCTTATCCTTCAACCACCTCTGTCCCCACCTACACCTCCACTGGTCTCTCCCCCAACTTCACCTTTCTTTCTGTCCTTCTATCCTGCAATCCTTTGTGGTTATTTGTTTTATCTTTCGGACGAATTTTGTCGATTCTATCTTTCCTTGAGGCATTTCTTCGAATTATTGTTCTCTTTTATGCTAAGAGGTGCAATATCTGAATTTGCATGACAAGGGAGTCAAGGATTATATCCTACCTTTAATAAAAGTTTTTTGAAGTAAATTAATGTTGGCTTAAATTCCTTCTGCTATATATGATTTTGAGAATCTTGTGGTACATAAGATCACGTTGCTGATATTTTTATGCTTAAAATAGTTTATTTTTGGAATACGCAGACCATATATCTTTCATAAGAGATGTAGCTGTTGCGAACCCTCCTGAACGTCTCCGTTGTTTGCTGAACATGCTCCAAGCACGAGGTAAAGCTTAATTTATTTCATTGTGTAAATATTTTATTTGGTTCTGAGTTTCTGCTTTCTGCTCTTTGTTGATTTCTTGATACGATATATTAACTAGGGCTAAATAAGTTTGTGATTAAAGAATAGAACATATTTTAATGTCATTTTGTTTCAGTATTTGCATCTACTGATCCTCAAATGCCTTTCATGGAAAATCCAAGCTCTTTATTCAAATAGGACAACTAAGGCTTCGTAGACATTGTGCCCATTTTATAGCAAGAAATCAACAATGAGCTAACAATAGGCACACATGCTCATGGGATTTATACTTTGGCTCTTTTAGATGACGAACAATACTTCCACCATGCATTCCCTGATTCTGAAGTCCCGGATAAAGGGGCAGGGAAGAAATAAGAAACATACAACCTATTGAAAGTGCAAGAGAGGGGGGATTAATTGGTACTTTAAGAACTTTTTTAAAAAAAAAAAGTTAGAGTAATAAAATTTTCAAACTACAAATGAAAAGTTTTTTTTTTTTTTTAACTTTCAGAAAACTTTTTTTATTTTTATTTTAAGCAAGAGTTTAATTCAAAGGTTCAAGAATCACGAAGTTCACAAAAATAAGCAAAGTAAGCCAAAATGCATGATAATAAATAAAACACAAACCAAATTTTTATAGTGGTTCATTCGAAATTGACATACATTCACTTCCCAAAGGTCTTTCTCTTTGGGTATTGCACTATACCACACTCCTTTAGCACTCAACCAGGTAGATAAGTCATTCTCCCTTATCAGGTGGAGAATGACCTTTACAGACTGTTCTTTCTCCGAAGAATCTCCCTCCTTTAGCCTCCCGACACGACGGAGATGCCAATCTTTTCTGCTCCTCGCAACCGTGGAGCTCATGCTCACTCCTGCTCCTCGCAATGACAGAGATGTCGCTCCCCTCGCTCCTCGCTATGGCGGAGATGCCATCCCCTAGCCTCGTTGACAAGTAAATCTTTCGCCAAAAGACTTTTTTCTAGAGCTTTTCTCAAAGAAATCCACAATTACAATATGGAGGACCCAAGGTATCGGCTGACAGGAACAATCATGTGACTCCCTCACACCCCTTGACACCCTCAAGTAAAATTCTCCCTCAATCTCACATCCTCTCTCCCAAGTCGTTTGGCACTCTCTTACAAACAAGGAGACTTTCTCCCTAGAAAAACATCTCTAACCGCTCAATCCAAACCCTCAAGACATGATAATTAGATAAAGTGTGCTATTTAAATAAAATCATAATTTTTTAATTTAACACTTTTGATCGTACAGTACAATCCGATTGTACTGTCTGATTAGTTCAATTTCTATCTTGTACGATATAGAGTCGTACAATACAATTACTTTTATTGAATCAAGGATCGTCTGGGACAAACGAAGGTTCATCCAATGATCTCTTAGCTAAATTATAATATATGATTTAGATCGTACAGTACGATCATTAATTCGAATTTGATCCTGATTCGATTCTTTAATCTATGATTCAAAATTAGGCAATAATTAAAATAGTTGATCGTCCTGTATGATTAGTTATAACCAAATTTAATTTATATGATTTAATTAAATACTTAAATTAATTTTTGGTTTAACAAATCATACAAGATGATTTAACAGAAAGATTCAAATATTCAATTTTCATCTCCCTTGTGACTGTGTGCTTGATTGTTTATCCAATATATACCTAATTACATAAATGACCCAAGAAAAGAGAAAATTACACTCTAATATTATAATCTGACTTAGATCTTAATGCTGCACTATCTTGAGTCTGATTTTTTAATCTAGCTCAGTGTATATTATACCTGAAATGGTTAGTGAAACACCAAAGAAATAGAAAATGCATATAACACATGAACAAGTAAATAATAATATCAGTAACGTTTGCAATCATCAAAATACTAGGTCAAGTTCTCGTATTTTAACAATTTCTCCCTTATTGATAATGATAAACATCATTGGTTGGAATTCAAATTTATAAGTTGATGTTAATTCCCTGCTTAATTCTTTCTCTTTAAATGACTTTAAAAATAATGGGAAAAGCATCTAAATTTGATTTATCTTTTTTTTTTTAAATTTTAAGTAAAGTCAACAACACAAACACTGAGCTATTAAAGAAACACTAATAAAAATGTAAACAGTACAACCAATAATCTCTACTTCCCTTTTTGTCATCACAAAAAGAGAGACTAAAAAGTATAATAAACTAAATGGAATCAAAAGAGTACAATGTGATAAAAAGACTAAAAGTCAAAATAGTACAAGGAGATAAAACATAAACAAACAAGCTGCTCATCAGAAGGACCCTGATCAAGTGGTGGTGGCGGTGACTAGAAGTAGCGGTGGAGTGAGGAAAACTGGTCTTGGAACCAAGATGATTCAACTCATGTTATTGTTAAAGTCACTCCCAATGTGACGTTGACTCTTGAATGTATGTTTCAAATCTCAGCTTAAAATGATCAAATCACTCAATCCACGAGTTAGAAGATGGTGGATGGAATGCGGGGGTTGGTGTTGCAAGGATGGTGCTCCCCCTGCCTCTGCTTTCTCATCGGTGTTAGGAATGTCCTTTATGGGTGCTGGCCTATGATGAATGCTATAGATAATGTGGAAGGAGTTGTGGGTGAAGAAGGCGGGCTGGTGGTGTATGGTTGGTCATATTGTGTTTAGCTTCGAGGATATATGCAATAATGTGTCCTAGGGCTAAGTTTTATCTTCGGTAGGCCCTAGGATTCCTAATGGAGGTCAAATTCTCTGTATACCTAATAATCATGTTTACAACATTAAACTATGTGCCAGTCATGTAGAAATAAATAATTAGAGAGTAAAAGATGATGTTCATACAATCACCAGCATTAGGGATAACGTTATATTAAAGGATGTGTTTGATAACACGCACATTTAGTACCATAATGTTGACTAGGGGTTGATATTTGTGTAAGGGAGAGTGTGTTCACTGTGGTCCAATTGTAATTTAAAGATTGGATAATATAGTGAGGTGCTTCACTTGTGTTAGAAATGTGAAGGTGCTCATGAAGGTCAGAATCAGTGATAATTATTTGATGATGGAAAAATAAGGGATTGCATAGCAGTGTGGTTAGGGTGACCTTCTTTTTTAGCAGTAGCTCGGTGTGAAAGGGGCAAGCTAGACAGATTAGGAATTGAAGGGATATAGCAACAAACAGATTTAATACCTGATAAGATAAGCGGTCCTAGTCCACTACTTTTGAATATGTGATAGCGACCTCCCTGTAGCATTTGTAGGTGGCCTGGTCTTTCTCGCATTGGAAACGGTCATCGAGCTAGGGTCGTTGAGCAAGTCTGCCATTCTTTTGAGCCTTAAGATTAGGAAGATGAGAGTGCAAGCTATGAATAAAAAGGAAGTAGATTTCTTCATGTCTCCAGTTATATGCCATGAACATCCGCTGTCCAGTTATTACATGCTTTTACTGGACCTCTTGTGAGAGCACACCCATAACATCAATCAAAGTTTAATTTTTGAAACCCAAGTGGGTTTGGGTCACTCCTTATATTGCAATAAATGTATATTATATTGTGTAAATGATGTCCTAGGCCTCCAGACCAAATGTGATCTACGGTGGATTCTGTGTGTGCAAAGGTGGGTAATATGTCCCAATATGCCACAAGAAAAATACTTCACTCATGGAAATGAATGCATTAATCTATATGAGTGATGACTCCTAAAGGATGGTGGTATATGTTGTGTTCTAATGTGTGGCTTACCGGTATGTGTAGGCCTTGTTATAGTTTTAAGTGCTTTGCTTTTTTTTCTTTTTAAATTTCATTAGCACTTTTATACATGTCTGCCTCTACTTTCAATACATATTCATCTTCTTGTAAATGCAATGCATATCTTTCTAACTCCTTAAATGCCTCTTTTAATTCAATATGCTCTTTTTTTAAAATATCATATTTCTCTTCTAATGCAACATTATCAATTTTTAAGTTTGTAAAGTTATTAATGAGATTGGTTTGCTCTTTTGGTAATGTAGAGTGTTCATTTCTAGGACATGAATGTTTCTTTTTAAGTTTTCTATAGTTGTCATCAACTGTTCTAAAAAAGAAAATAATTCATCATAAGTGAGATCACATATTTAATCACGGTTGGAATCACTAGTGCTATTCTTGGCAATGAGATATGAGTTTTTTACCTCCTCTTTAGCTTTCGTCTCTAATGAATCTGAATCAAAATTCATCCAAAAAGACTTTTGTGTTATGGGTTTGCCTTACTGTGGCCCTTTTAGCAATTCCTTTCTTATAACTCTTTTCTTTTATTGGTTGACTCTTTAAGATCGCGCAATCAGATCAGATATGTCAAGATATTTTACATTCATAACAAACAACATCATCATAAAACTTATTTAACTTTATACTTTTACTTATATTTTTGTTACTGTGGCGTTTTTGTTTGTGTTTCAAAAATCTTTTGAATTGTCTATTCATTAACACTAAGTATTTAAGTATACTGCTAAATACTTAATATTAAGATGTAACATTTGCTTTATCCTATCTAGCCCTTGACTAATATCTGCTAGCATCGCTCCATGCATTTAAGGAATATCCTATGCAACTCAATAGTAAGGCTTATACTTAAGAATATTAATAATTTATTTGAATTTTTTTTTGAGGTTTAGATAACTTAGCCTAAGTAAATTTTGACATAAATTAAGACTAATTTGTCTAATCTTAATTCCCTGATTCCTTTGTCACATGTCAATTTGACATCTATACTCATCTCCTTATTATCCTCAATTTACTCAGCCATCCTATCCCCAAGTCATAAGAGCCTTTGTCTCCTATGGTTGTTGAAGCTAGTTTTGGTTCCACAAATTGTTAACACTACTTCCATTAGGTATCTTCTTTACTAGTTGTTGAACCAACTTGCTGGTCTCCTCGCAGTGAAATGTTAAAGGTTTTAATCCACCATTTTGGGTCTCCGTGGTCCTTATTCATTTTTAACATGGAAGGAAAGAAAACACATAACCTCCACCTATTAATTGGAATTTAGAGTGGAAATTCATTAGGCAGTTTTTTTTTTTCATTTATAGTTTATTTTTGTTATGCGTTTTCATATCTTTACACAATTTGTTTTACTATTCTAAAATAGAACATACACGGTAAAATGCTTTATATCTATGTGATCTAAAATTTAGTTTTAACCGAAATGGACAGATAGGCATCCTTCTGGATTGCTTTCGTAAAACATGGGTGCTTGGCTAATCTGTTCCGTGCTAATAGCTTTTGTGACTGCACTAGCACCTGAACTCCCATTTTTCATGTTTTTAGTGATAGGGTACATGATGTAATCAGATCCCTAAAAAAATCTTCTATTCAGAGTGGTGAGTTGATGAAACTCCTACCATTAAAGAAAAACTTCGCCTTAGACCACTCTTTAATTCCTTGAGCCTTCAAAGGGCTTGCTGAGATTTCATGCAAGAAAACTACAAACCCAAAGAGATATTTACTAGTTGCATGTATGAATTCTTTTTTATATAAACTTCAAATTCTTCCATTGTAAGTATTTAAAAATTTTTAGATGTTCAATGTATATGAAATCAAGATATATTAAAATAAACCCCAAATGGCGAAAGGGTCTAGGACAGTTTGCAGAAACTTCTTGTTGTGTTGATTCAGTAATAAAACTATTATCATGAATACAAGTAAAAAAAAAAAAAGAAGCAGCACATGTAGCTTTTAAGAAAAATGAGTGGACAAGAAGAATTAGAAAGTCAAACCCAAATAGCGGTGATTAGGCTAATGTTGATGATGAAAGGGCAAGTTTGTCAATTATATAATACATGAGATGCTTTAATGCAATTTTCTACTCGTCTCTGGAATAAATGAATATGGTGATGTTTTCAATTTTCTTAAACCAAAGTGTGAGATATAACATAAAGCACGTTGTCAATGTAAGATATGAAACCTATAAATTAGTTAATGTCATGGCTATCTACACATTTGAGCTTTGTTTATTTGAATGAGCTCTTCAGACAATTTTGATTGCACTTGTTTGTGGAGCTTAATGTGGTACAACTTGCTTATTGCTTTTAAAGTATATACATTTAAAATTCAATGAAAGATGTAAAAGTTGGAATCCTTGCTAAGCAAAGCTGTCTGGTAGGAGCACTTGTTTGTGACTTATTCTTTATTGATGTGTCTCAGATAAAGTACAGAAGACTGAAACGAGCTTTATTTTGGCTTACTAACAAACTATTAAATAGATTTTGTTTCTTCGTCTCAAGCAAATTGTTGAAAAAAATGAGCATATTAAATTCTTCTTGAACGTAAATATTTCCCTAAAAATTAGTAGCATTTGTTCATTAAACTTTATTAATCTCTTAATGCATATTATTTTAGATTACAAACTCAGACGAGCCATAACAATGCCAAGATTAAATTATTTTCCTTTGATTTGCTTTCTAGCAAATTGAGAGCTATCGTATGCATCTTTCATGTACTTTATTTATTGATGAATACATGTTCTTTCTTCCTGACATTAACAGAACTTCATTTCTTACAATTAGTAATATTATTTTGGATAAGAAATGATACCCTTTGCTCATTTCCTTATGTCGTATTAATAACAAACTATTATTCAAGTCATCATGGCATGGATTAAACTACCATGAACAGCTAAACAGCTGTGCAATTTATCAAGTTCGTTGAACAACCTATAGTTTAATATTTTATATTAATCTTCTTTCATTAAATTTATCTCGAGTCAGATTTGGGAGAAGGCTTTAAAATATTTTGTTAAAGAGCAAAAGCCCAGTTATCTATTATGAAATCTTCATTAGTTACCCGTTGCAAAGGCTATTCTGCATTCATTTTCCAACAAATGGTTTTGCAATTAGTGTTTCCAGCCCATGAAACTGAATGATAGTATTGTGGAGATATTTTTGGGACTTGTTTACGCCAGCGTCCTAGACAAGGCCTTTAGTCGTGTAGTTCTTTCTAATGGAGGTATGCATTACATTGAAAGTTTTCCCTGATATTTAGAATCTTGCAATGTGTTTTTTTATTTTAAATAACGAATTGTTTATGAATGAAAAATTGAACGGTTATCAATGTACATAGTTTTTGCTTACGTTTTTTCACCTATGTCTACCTTATTTATTCGAGTTTGAAATTGCTTTGGACAGATCACATAACCAATGTCTAAAATGATAGTTGATGATGTGTGCCTACCAATTTATTGCAGGTGAAACAATAGTCCCTCCTGGAGCAAAAGAAGGACTCATTCCCCTTGTTATTCCTCTGTCAGAAAGCTTTTCAGGTTAATATGAAACATTTATATTGAATACACTTTGTAACTGAAGAGTTCATAGTTTAATATTATTTTCTTTTGCTAAATGATCTTTAAGGAGAACATTTTGTTTTATTATGATGTAAGGTGCTTTGACTTCTTTACTAAGGTGGCCAACATCTCCACCTGGGTAATTGCGCTCTTTCTTTGTACTCATTTTAAAGCTTTCAGTGGTAACTTTTAGTTCACTCCTAATGCTTAAAACAAAAAACTAATAATAAAACCAAAAAATCAGCTCACTCTTTTTATGATTTGTAGGATGGAGATGCCAGTTGTGGAAGTTCGGAAGCATGGGGTGTGGTACTTGGCCAAGAGTGTAAGATCAAGCAAACAAAAATTATGTTATATGTCTTAGAGCTATGAATCTTCAGAAGATCTATTAAAATGAACAACTAATTTATTCAAGTGAATAAGCTTCAAGAAAGAATGATTATATGTGAACAACGAACTGTAGATGATGGCGTGGGCTTTGTTTGGTAATCTCTGTTTTTTTGCACTGTGCTGCATGAAAGAAGTCGCCTCTACTCTCAAAATGATGAATGAGTTGCTCTGCAATTTGCTTCCCATGATTCTAAAGCTATGGAGGAGATGAACATAGGTGTTACCGAATTTGATTGTGCGAACAAAAATATTTTTTATTGCACTTTGAAAAAATTTAAAATTCATCATTGAAGCCTTAGGCTTCCAGCGGTAAATTTTATACTATTTTTGTGCTGTGCTATTTTAAAAAGTCACAACTACACTCATAGGCATGAACAAACATCTCTTCAAGTCTGCTACCCAAGTTTGGGTGGCCTTGTAGAAGGTACACATGCACTGCAACTATATACTACTCACCTTTCCTAGATTATTACATGTGGTTTTTGAAAATATGCAAAGTGAAACCTATGGATTAACTTTGATTTGTGTGGAAAAAGTTTTTAAAGTATTATACTACAAGTGCATATCCTTCATGACTTGACTAGAGAATACAATTCTAGAGTAGCTTGTCTGCATGTATGAGAATAGACGCTTATTTTCATGTTAAATGAAATAACATTATCAAATGAAGCCTTAATGTGGGTTCGTTGGATATCAATTTCTTGCTTTATTTAATTTATACGAGAACTAATGTCTGCTCTACATAAAAATATATTGATCTTTGCAATTGTCATTCATAAGGTGAGGTGGGTGCTTTTCATCCAAAAAAATTTTGGTATGATATTATCGTGGGCTTTCTTTTCAAAGTCTTAGAAAGTTCATTATGGATAGTTTAGGATTAGTCGTGCTTCACTTTTATTCTGAATTTTATGTGATTTAGATTAGTATTTGAAAAACATGTATAATTTTCAAATTAGAATTTCACTAATGCTCTACTACATACATGTTTATGTAGTTGCTTGAACATTGCCTCACTGTGCTTATCAAATTTATTATATCCCTCCATTTCAAAGATAATGATTTTTTTGCTTTTATCCAAATGTTATAGGTAGACCAATACATTCATAGAATGCTTGCTGAGGAAGATGCCAGAGGCATCCAGGAAAAGAAGCTTTGGGATGCTGCTGCAGATCTTGGAAGAGAGTTATATAACAAGGGAGATCTTCTATCATCTGGTATTGCTGATCTCGATACTTATCTGTTGAAAAAGGTTTGTCATAAAAATTACAGATACCTCTACATGATGAGCTTAAGAGGGAGGAATTTATGCTTATCTTTGAATTTAGGTCGGCCTGTTTCCAGATGTAATAGAACGGAAAGTTGCACGCCATTTGCAGAGAGAAGATCATGTAACACCACAATCATTTATTTATACCTAAAACATTATGCCAGATATCTATCCAGGTTACATTGCTTGTTTATTGTAGGTTTCAGCACTGGTCACTGGGGAGTTCTACACAAGGAATCACTTTCTGGGATTTGGAAGGCCTTTTGTTTTCAACGCAGAGATTTTGTTAAAGTTCAGAAAAAATCTAAATCTTGAGACTTTCTATCAGCACATTGCTTTTTGATACTTCAACAGATAATCTTTAAAACTACAATTCCTCATAGGGTAGGGCGCAAACCTGAAGCCAAGGATGCAGCTCGGGGAGCCCTGAAACTGCCATGGTGGACGCTGGGTTGTAGATATCAAGTATAGCTGAAATATTTTCAGCTGGTATTTATTTTGTCTAGTTTAAATAGTCTGATTCATGTCCTTCGCCGCTATTCGTTTATTACAGGAAGTTGCAGAGATCGCACAGTGGGAAGACGAGCAGATTGAGTACATAAAAGAGAAGGTGACAGAGGAGGGTAAGAAGGAAGATCTGAAGAAGGGCAAAAGTCCAGAACAGGTGGGTCAAACTTTCATTTTACGAGATAAAGCTTCAGTTCTGAAAAAACAAAACATATTTTTTCGGGCGTGATGACTGCAGGTAGCACTTGATGAAGCTGCATTTTTGTTAGATTTAGCCTCTATTGATGGAAGTTGGGATGAAGTTGTGGATCGTGTTGCCGAATGCTACATGGAGGCTGGACTCTCTGATGTTGCTAAGTTTGTGAAGTACAATTATTGACTCTATTGATAAATGATGATAGAATAGTTTTTTCAAAGTTCTGGAAGTGAAAATATTGATTCTGTTGTGATTTCTGAACGTTTGATGGAAGATCACCGTGAAGAATGGCTATAGTGCTATACCATCAAAATTTGTTGGGGGTCAAGAGTTAAATTAGACGGGTACACACATGGAATTGGGGGATTTATCAAAATGCTCTTTTGATGGGTCAATATACACACAAAATATTCTTTGTTTTATATGAAAAAATTGCAGTAGATCTTTGCTAAAGAACTTCCGATGATTCTTTTTCTGAGTTTTGATTTAGTTTTGTTGACTTGTTCATTAGTTGCTTTTTAATGTCTGAGTTAGGCTTCGTTTGGGACGGCTTTTTTATTACTTTCTAAAGCAGAGTTTTAGTACAAATTTTTTTTATTTTTGTACTAAAACCCCGTTTTAGAAAGCAGTGAAAAAGCCGTCTCAAACGAAGCCTTAGTTGATCATATAACTTGTTGATTGGTTACTTCTACTGTGTCAATTGCTTCAATTTATTTTAATGAGATACAAATATGCTTATAAGAGAAGCATTAGCTGATTGATGCATAAATTCTATAACTATTGTTGATCTCTGTATGTGCTTTGTAATAAATTCGAGTTAAGTGCAATGAGAAAGATGACCGGCTAATGCCATGCAAAACAAGTTTGAAATGCATCAGTTGTGACCCAAATCACTCAAATGTCATCAGCTTGCAAAAAATGGATTGTAATAATCTGTCTATAGCGTAAAAAATGCAAGTGCTTGATACTTGAGGTGCTAAAGGCACGTCAAGAAAGGGTACGAATTAGTTCTTTTAGAAAAAAAAAGTTTGCTTAAAAAATATAACTTGATATGCAAAAGCGTTTAAAAGATTAAAAGGTTTAAATCAAAAGAAAAAGATATAAGTTTTTTTTTTTATTTTAAAATTTAAAAAAACATATATATATAATTTTTAAAGCAATGTTCAATTAGAGATTATTTATCAAAAGCCTCTTTCACAAAGATAAAATAAAATAAGAATGTAGTAAAATGAATTACAAGAAAAATAAAATTATGCGAATCAGGTTTATAGTGGTTCGATCGACTTGTTTATGTTCACTCTTTAAAGATTCTTCTTTTTGGTATTGCACTAACTCAAACTCTTTCAATAAATAGCTAGACGGAGAATTCCTTCTCCCTTATGACAGGAGGAGAATAACCTTTACGGACTCCTAAGAATTTGCCTCTCACCTCCTAGGCTCGACGGAGATGTTGTCCCTTCTTTTTCCTACTCGGCACCGTGGAGATGTTGATCCCTCCTCTTGCCTCCTCAGCCTATTAGAAATGTCGTCACTCCAACAGAGATACCACTCCCTCCTTTCACCTCCTTGACATGACAGAGATGTCTATCTCTCCTTCTTCTCCTCATAATAGTGGAGATATTGTACCTCCTCTTGCCTACACGGCTCGGTAGAGATGCTGACCTTTAGCCTCCTTGGCTAGCGAGTCTTTCACACAAAAAACTCTCATCCTTAGAGGTCCTCTCCAAGAGCTCCACGAAAACACAATTGGAGGACCCAAGGTGGAGGCTAGTGGAGCAATCGTGTGCCCTCTCACACCGCTTGACTCCCTCAAGGAACTCTCGCTCTCTCAACCTCTTCTCCTCTCTCTCCCTTGTAAATTGGACTCTCCAAGCTCTCTCCCAAGAAAAAAACTTCTTTAACTGATCAAACCCTCTTTCCCTAAAGACATAATAAGAGTTTATAAAGTGGACTCTAAAATATCCTAATTTTTAATATTAAGTCATCTTATCATATAGTACTATCAGTTCAATTCCATCAAAGATCTTTCTATATGATTCACAATCATATAGTACGATTAATTATATCAAATTACAAATAATTGAGGATGAACCAAGTTTCTCCATTTGAGCTCTTTATTGATCATGCAGTACAATCATTAATGATTGATTGAACCCTGATTTGATTCTTTAATATATGGGATTAAATTAGGCAATTTTAATTAATGCTCATATAGTACAAACCAGTTCATGCAGTACGATTAGTTCAAATTCCAAATTTACCTATTTTAATTAACCTAATATTCGACAATGGGGTATTATCAAAATAGCTTATAGTACAATTCAATTCAAGGTTGTAAAATATAATTAGTTATACCTCATTTTAATAAATCTCATTTAATTAAATATTTTAATTAATATTTATTTGATAACAAGCACCTAATATATAAAATGACTCCTTCATGTGTGTGTGTGTGCATGGTTGCTTAGATCATACACCTAATATATAAAATAACTCAAGAAAAATAAATTGTACATATTCTATCAAATGCAGACTGACTTAGGCATTGATGCTACATTGTTTTGAGCCTTGATTTTTAACTTTTAATTGGTATATATTCTACCTAATATGGTTAGTGACACACAAGAAATTATGTAATTTGTGAAGCTGGAATACATAACATATTCATTTAATAATATTTGTGATTATTGAAACATAAGATTGAATTGATTGATTATAATAATCTCCCCCTTTTGATGATCACAAATATTATTGGTTGAAATTTAATAGTAAATTTGGTTTTTAATTTCCTATTAAGTTTTCTCCGTCACTAAATAACTTATTTTAATAATGGGGAAAACCTTTTATTTTTAATTTTTGATTTTTTTTTTAATTTTAAAAAAGCATGATAATTCTTTTTAATTTCATTTTTTTACATTTTAGTTTTTTAAAGGAAATTCAACATTGAAAGAAAGCTACACTAATAAAAAAACAAGTACAACCAACACCACACCTACTCCTCTTTTTGACATCACCAAAAAAGAGAAACTAAAGATAGATTACAATGCAAGGAAGGGAAACAACTAAAAACATAAAGAAGCAAAAAACATATAAACAACATTTGCAAACATGATACAGATACAAAGCATGAAATATAAGAAACAATTAGCATCCAATGTCTTCAAAGTCCTAAACACTTATATCAATAATTCCCAATCTAATCCTAAGTGAACTAAATGTGTCTTATATTAGGATTTCGATGAAGACATTTGCTAATTGATTTTTAGTGTCCACATGCTATAATTTCTATATCTCCCTTAGCCTCGTGGTCCCTAATGAAGTGATGTCTAACGTCAATATTTTTAGTATAATAGTGTTGGATAGTATTTATAGAGACGTAGATCGCATTTGTGTTATCACGCCTGATAGAGATGGTTTCTATGGGTAGTCCAAAATAAAGATGCTATTGCTTCAGCCAAAGGACTTATGCAACACAACTTTATATAAGTATATATTCAACTTCAACAATGTATAGGACTATGAAATTTTTCTTTTTACTTGACCAGGAAATTAAAGATTATCCAATGAATTAACATTTTTTTAGGCGTTTTTCCAAACTACCCTACATCGAGAAAATTTCAAATGTAAGTATCCAACTAGGTTAAAAAAAGAAAAGAGTATCAACTAGATTTAATTTCAAGCTATCTCTAGGATATTAGATACCCAAATTTTGAGAGCCTACTGGATACCCTAAGATTCTTTTGATAGTAATTATATGGGATTCCTTAAATCTAGCATATAAATAAACACTTAACATAATATATGACCTATAGGAGGTAAAGTAAGGAACCTTTACTTATTCCTCTATATTTTTTCTGATCAGTTGATTTACTACCTAGATCCTTTTCTAATTAGGTAGTCGAGCTCATCGATGTATTCATACTTTTGCAACCTACCATATCAAATTTCTTCAAAATTTCTTTAATATATTTAGTTTGGCTTAGTAATGTTCCATCCTCTCTTTGCTTAACACTAAAACTAAGAAAATAAGTTAACTCGCCTATCATACTCATCTCAAATTCACTACTCGTAATAAAAATAAATCATTACACAAATCATCATTTGTGGATCTAAAATAATATCATCAACATAAATCTGAACTATGAGTGTATCTTCTTTAACTCTCTTAATTAATAAGGTAGTGTCTACGGTACTATGAACAAAGGATTTTTTCTAATAGAAAGTTGCTAAGTTTGTCGTACCACACCCTAGGTGCTTGCTTAAGCCCATATAATGGTTTCTTAAATTTATAAACATGATTTGGAATGATGAACTCTCAAAATCTGGAGGTTATTTTACATAAATATCTTCTTTAATCACATCATTTTAAAAATGCACTTTTTACATCCATTTGATATAATTTGAAACCTGTAAGTAAATTAAATCCTAATAATACTCTAATGGCTTCTAGTCTAGCTGTGGGGGCGAAGGTCTCCTCAAAATTGATTCCCTCAATTTAGTTATAGCACTTTGCTACCAACTTAGCCTTATTTCTAACTAATGATTCATAGTCATTTAATTTATTTTTAAATACCCATTTAGCTACAACAACACTCTGATAAGTGGGTCTACTTACTAATTTCTATACATCATTTTTAATAAATTTATTTAACTCGTCTTGCATAGATACAATTTAGAATTCATCAGTTCGTTCTTTTTTACACTAGTGGGTTTTATCATAGAGATAAAATCTACGTAGTTAACCTCCTTTCTAAGACTATGCTAATCCTAACCCATACGGATGGCTTTCCTAAGATAATTTCTCTAAGGTTACTAGATAGATATCTCTATTCCCTAGGCAATGGATTTCTGAGCTTCTTCTCTATCTTCTAATACATTATTTTCAACTCTTTAGATTATCTCTTCTTCTTCATCATAAATCATTCAAGTTTTAGAAACTTTATCCTCCATGCGTGTGTGTGTGCATGGTTGCTTAGATAACATGCACTTAATATATAAAATGACTCAATAAAAATAAAAAGTATAGATTCTATCAAATGCGGACTAACTTAGGCATTGATGCTACATTGTCTTGAGCCTTGATTTTTAACTTTTAGTTGGTATATATTCTACCTAATATGGTTAGTGACACACAAGAGATTATGTAATATGTGAAACTGGAATACATAACATATTCATTTAATAATATTTGTCATTATTGAAACACAAGATCGAATTTCTTGATTATAATAATCTCCCTCTTTTGATGATGACAAACGTTATTAGTCAAAATTTAAATTTGTAAATTTGATTTTTAATTTCCTATTAAGTTTTCTCCATCATTAAATGACTTATTTTAATAATGAGCAAAACCTTTTATTTTTAATTTTTGATTTTTTTAATTTAAAAAATGCACGATAATTCTTTTTAATTTTAGTTTTTTATATTTTATTTTCTTAAAGGAAATGCAACATTAA